CTGTTCACACACTCACACCTAGTCACAATTTAGGAGTTGCCAATTAATGAAATTACCTGGCAAAAACCAAAAGGGTATTTGAAGAGGACATAAAAAACTACACAGAAAGGCTGCTGYCAGGTTCTGAACCTTCAGCCTTCTTGGTATAGAAAGAAAACTCAGCCCCATGCCCTGACATACTGCCTTGTAACAAATCAAAAACACAGAAACAAACATATAACTGTTGTTTATTTCTATTTTTACTTTGTTTATTGCATAATCTTGAGGAATGCCRGGAACAAAAGAAAGTCATTGAAACAAGGATAGAACTATGACCGGACAGCTAATAATTACATCTAGTAAAATACCCGTGCTTTCACACTGTGTGCTCAAATAACAGAAGATTTTATTCAAAAAAGTGGACATAAAAACATTTTTATCTGGAACTGGATTAACTTCAATGGGCCTCATGCAAGAACATGTTCGTATTCTTATCCTAAATTTCTCTTACTTTTGTTCATACAAAGGGTTCGTACGAACATGTCACGTCAGATTCAACAAACTCTTCTATCTTCAGGAAAAGTGTGTAAATGAATTACACCTATTCATATCAGCTGCTCGTGCACGCAAGAGGAGATTAGCATAATTACCACCCCAAAAACACCATATAAGGCTATGTTTCCTGCTTCAGATACAAGGAAGTGTTCATTCATGAAAATTGACAACGATAATTAAAAAGAAAAACTTTACGAGTTCAGAGATTGAAGTCCGTCTGTCAGAGATCCAGAAAAGAAAATCTGTCATTTTTAGCAGGTCAGCTGTGGGATAAAAAGAGCTGCTAAAAGTATAAATAACTGTGTTAAATCATTTCCATTTATTCAGAAGACACAGCTCCGCGCACCGACACCCCCCCACCCCACCGCGCGGTTTCAAGTGGTCTCAGTTGTGGTTCTGAAATAAGCATTTTAAAATGTTTTCAAAATATGTCTGGCACTTTGGAGAAAATCAAGGACTCGCTGGAGGGATTATGTATCCCCTCTGGTCTGGGAATGTCTCGGAGTCCTCCAGGACGAGCTGGAAGCTGTCGCTGGGGAGAGCGGGGTCTCCTGCTGCCTCCCATGACCCGATCATGGATAAGCCAGCCGGACGTAGAATTTATATTGTTAGTCTAAATTATTACATTTAAAATTATAACTCTAATTCAAGCTGAATAGCCTGTTGTCAACATAATTATGGAGTTTAATTTATTTTCAACTTAAAATATCTTCAAACTAATGAAATATAAAGTTATTAGGGAGGAAAATCCATCTGGACAACAGCAGACTGACTGCTCGTAAAATATACGACAGGTCTGGACCACTCGTGAATTTTGTTCTGAAAAAAAATCTTAGAATACGAAAACATTGGTGAATGCCACAAATTCTCCTAAATCACTCATACGCACAACTTAAGAATAAATCTGTGCGTACGAACGGTTCTTGCATGAGGCCCAATATTTCCAATGACTAAAAGAAGATTAAACAGAAGTCTTAAATGTTGTTTCTGACTGGTTAAAACAGAGTCTGTTATATCCGTGCCTTTAGCACTACTGTCTTTTGTCCACTGATGAAAAACTGTAACATAGGCCGAAATTACTACCCGATCAGGTGAGGTTCTGAAGCCAGTCAGTAGCTTGCTGTTCTTTTCTTCGCTGAATGGCGCACACTTCAAGGCTTGAATAACATGGTTCCCACCATGTCGGACATGAGCATGCTCACCAAAACCAGTAGCTCCAGTTTGATCCTCAACCAAAAAACAGGGTACGGCTGATATTGATCCAAATAGGCAACAGGGAAGCTGGTACGCCTCACTTGTTAGATTAGTCGCTCCATCCTGGCTCCCACCGCCACGCGTCCAGGCCGGCAAGTCCACCCCAGGCGCTCCGTCCAAACACGAGGGACAATCCGAGGGCCGAGGGACTCCATCCACATCCGCCACTCCACCGAGACACGCCGCAGCAGCAAGCAGGAGAAACCAGCCCAACCGGCAAGGTAGATGATATTTACCAAAGTTAGGATAGCTTATGGTCGATGCTTGTATACACGCCATAGGACGCTTGTGTGCTGTTGTTTTTCGAAAATGATGTCCRTCATTTGCGTCTTTGATCTTCTGTTCATGTAGCATACAGAGTAACAGCAACACTAAAGCTAAGGTAAATTTGGTCAAAAACAGACCTGCAGATGCCTGTAAAGCCAAATGGGATGATTTTCCTGCAGCGATACTGCACAGCTACATACATCTGCCGCCACCACCGCTATCTTCTGCAGTACCAGCTTTAGGAGTGTTTAAACAAGAAAGCCAGTCTTAAACAGGAGTTGTGAAAAAAAAACAAGTGACTAACTATCAATAAAAGCTCCTCAATTGTCTATTAAATTTTGCGAGCAAAGCTATTCTTCATCTTTGCAATCTCAGAGTATTTAAAAAGTTGGGGTCTGTGGAGGATGGTTTGGGGTGTGATGCTGTAAAGAACCTTGTGTGATCGTATGCATTAAGGCTAAAATTTTTACGATATTAATATATTCCTTTTGCCAGGTCACTGATCATTTTCATTACACTTCCTCAAAATCTCCTGGCACGAAAAGCTCATTTCAAGCTCCGCCAGTGGTTAAGGAATTCTGATTGATGGCCAAAAGGAGTTAACTTAATATCTAGTCTCCAATGCAGTGGGGACAAGTTTCCGTGCTGCTCTTTTTTGTGCTGTACGTTATTGCACCGGATTTCCACTCGGCCTTAAACCAGCAGTTGGCCCGAGGCAAACTGAGCACAGGTTTTATGCAACACAAAATAGTCAGAAGCAACTTGGAGGCATTTACTGTCAGAAGAGATTGTCTGATTTGGTTAAAATCTGTTTAATAATAGAAATGGCAGCTTTATGTTTACAAAGATATTACTTTTTGGTTTGGATGGAAAAGATTTTTGTTACTCCATGTACTTATTTACAGAAAGTTGAGGCAAACAGGAACTGTGTTTACCTCTTTTTGGCATGCCTAAATGTTTTTGTTGTACTTTTCTTGGTCACAGTCATGCATAAATTGTTCACATCAATTAGCAGATAAAATGTTGTTTTAGTGCAATGGGACAACTGAGGCGTCTGGCACTGCCTAATGATAGCTCACCAGATGAATATGAGAGTGATGATTAGCCAATTATCAATGGCCTGTAGGTTTAAAAAAACAAGGAAATAATAAATATATGTTTGCATCATTTAAAGATTCTATTGGCACCCGGCACAACCACAGTGGTGTCCTCCATCCTCCCCCCACMTTTTTCTTTTTTCATGTGTTTTTCTACTGGACATTTATGAGCCAGAGGGCAGTTAACTTAGAGTTGCAGTATGATGTRTCTTAATGGGTAGGTGGACATATTTCCAGTTAATATATGCATCTCCACTTGGCTTCAGGTCACTAATCCGTCAATAGTGGTGTGCTTTGGAGTGGGAGAGGGACAAAGAGGGAGATGGAAAGGAGGGAGGTCTAAATATAGGCACACTAATGCGAGAGAAAGGGGAACATGAATAGGGAAAGAAAATGTGATATTTGACTGAGCGACGTACMGCAAAAGAAATAAGGCAGGATGCTTCAGTTGTAAAGCTAAATACTTGGAGACGTAGGGTAAAATAAACCAGCGCTAAAAAAATGGAGAAATACTGTGTAGAGAAGGACCGTTATGGAATATATATATATTTGTATTCTGCTTAACACTAAGCAACATATCTGCTCTCTCACTGCTGTTATATCCTGGGGTCACGCTCTGATTGGCTAAGAAGCCGTACAAAATACACCACAAAACACTCTGAAAGATCCAAATACAGTGCATCACCCTGGAACTGCATACCTGGTTGGAAGATTGGTACTCACAGCTTTCGCTGAGAGTTTCTGAAGACAGAATAATTTCATCACCAGAGCCAAATCTCTTAAACATGAGTGTGTAACAGGATGCCTTCATATGATAACATGTGGCCCAAAATGCTTAAAAAAGGCTTTTTGAAGAGTTCAGTGGATTAGGTTGGGTTTAGGCTKTCTGATATGAAGGTACAGTATGTGTGGTGTTAGATTCTCAATCATCAAGAGCATAGCATTCCTGACATCCTCTGCTTGGTCGAATTTGTGAAATCTGCTCTCATTATCGCAGCTACATCACAAAAATTGTGCCATGTTGTTCTCAGCCCCRTGTTGCCTGCCCCTTCTTGTCACAAGACCTGGGCTGAACGTTTCGTCTCCCTTTGCATACATTTTTTTTTTTGTACAAATGGTCTGAAGTTTGTGGGTGTGTTTGTTAATGCTGAAAAGTGCTTGGACAGCAATGACGACATTTTGGTTACAGAAGTCAGGGTKTGCATCCACAAGCAGACACTTATAATGAAATGGCCAAAAAAATCATGGATTGAGAGAACAGACGGGCTTGGAGGAATCCGTCTGCTGAAAAGTGTGGCGTTTCAACTTTGACAGATTTGTGRCCAAAGTAATAGTGTATATTGGACACTCCATGGCAAGAAACCTGTGCTTTGATGTGTACAGCAGTGGGAGGGCTTTCCCAGTTGAAAAAAAGGCAAACAGACTTTCTTGTTTATTAAAGATGTTTCACTTCCCCTTTGAAAGGTTTTATAATTTCTGATTGCGTATAGGCAGGTTTAGGCCTTATAAGGGAAAACTTGGAAAGGTACTACGGTATAACGCTTTAACACACTCGGGATTCAGAATCTACATCAACACCAACTCTTAATCAGRACTGCAGAGGCCTTTTGGTTTGGACCTGGCATCTTTCTTTGTAAAKTTCTYAYTGWGCTTGTGTGAGTTTTCTCTGGATACTGTGGTTTTCCCCACACTCTTGTTAAAGAGCATGATCTTACTGATAACCCCACCTTGAAAGTTGATAAGATTACTTCGTTTGGTTTCAAAAATTTGGAAAAATTCAAAAATGTTCAGTTGTGTTTTGAGAGCACATTTCTACAACAATGTAAAAAAAATGTGATTCTTACTTACCTTAGGTGGGCTTTCAGATCCAGGGTATTCCCGCTGGTCTAGTTTGTTCCAACGCTGCATCAGCTTTATAACTATAGGTTTGCCAAAGTCCACCAACTGGAATCCAGTCACGTTGGCTCCACCGTGCATAAACCTCTCCAGGGATATGTCCTTAAAACCCTGGGGGAGGAAAAAAGAAGGTAGGAAGGAAGGATTAAAGGAACAAAGAAAGTTTGGGGGAAATAAAAAAAAAGCAGTTGATGAAGAGTGGAAGTGTGCAAACCTCCCCCACCCGGTGCATACATGTGAGCTGACAGATGATTCTTAACACACTAAATCGATCATCTATGCCTCGATTTAATACAGAGTGAGTTCCACAGTTGTGAGCGTGACTGTCTACTGAGTGACACTTCATTGTGAGGAGGTGGTGAAGAGGACTCAATTTGAGATTGAGCCAAAGGTAAAACATTGAGACATGTACGTGTTATACAGGGAGGGTTGATGGGTGCTAATGGCTAAAAGCTGTGAAAGCCTAAAGCTCAAAGGCTTCTTTTTCACTGATGCTGAGAGAAATACTATTAAACAGATTTCAGGGATTGGGTTTGAAGTCACAATTTATTTATGATCAAATAACTTCTGACAGCTGTGACCTTGTCAAGAGGAAACAAATGGTAAAATACCAGCTCATTTCAGAAGAAATAAGTGGCTTTGGTAACAAYATACAATAGATCATTTATCCTTACGTATATCTCAAAAATGTTGCTTTTATAAAGACACAAAGAAGTTTTACCAAGATAAAAACATGCAGCAAACAGTAACTGAGCTTTTCTGTAAAATCACCAACACTGATAGGCTCAAATGTTTTTAACTGATGATCAGTTGTGTTTAAGTCAGTGGTTAAAAGCAGCAACAAAAAACTCATAAGTACATTTTTTTCTTCTGCACAAAACTTAAAACTTCAAAAGAACTAAATGCTAAAGAAATCAGTCCTGTAATTTTTTACACATGCTATTTGCAATTTTCTTTCATTTGTAATATTTAATATTGTCTGTTTAATAGATAAGCAGGAAACAGGGTGGTTATTGAGAGATAATAMCGTATTTCAGCGAACTGATGATAGTTGTCTCTTGCTGTTTTAGGACATATTAAAAAATAAAACAAACAAACAAACAAAAAATAAAAAACAAACAACCATCTTATAGTGCTTCACATCTACATTTGTGTTTTCCTCCAGTATGTCTCCAGGTAAGGTTGGGCGACCTTATATACAAACAATGTGTCCATCCAGAGCAGATAAAGCTGGAGGTGCTGTTCCTGTAGCTTTAATCTTCTTTTCTCCTCGGGTTTATAATTCATTTTTTTAGTCTTTTGCATTTCACCTACAGAATTTATCACCTCTGTTACTTTTATCTGTACCACTGTGATGACTCTGTATCCAATCCTGTCCAGAAGGGGGACAAAACAGGATAAATAAAGCAGATTTTCTCTTCTCTTTTGTCTTTTCTGATAAGTAGCTCCAACATACCTTACAGCAAACCTGTGCTTGTGTTTTTTTTGCTTTTATTGTCACATTTTTTTGTTACAATGCAAGAAAATCTTTTTATATGGAACTGATTAAAGTGGACATACCATGCTTTTAATCCTTCATTTTACACATTTAAAGCATTCAGCTGAAGAACTGCAGTGAAGCTGGTCTGAATTCCTCCTTACTGTAACTCCACAAGCCCCTCTTKCATCTGTTTTCTAAGGTGTGTCTCAAAGCAGTTTGTTTTGAGACGATCTTTAAATCAAAWTGAGGTGATATACCCCACTTCCTCCCCACTCCTCCACCTTCAGACCGGTCCATTTCAGTTTGAGGGACGAGTTTATGAGAATCTTGTGGCTTCAATAAATCATCATTTAACCATAAGTACTGGCCTTCTTGATATTGACTGAATGCTACATCTACAAAGACAAAATTTTAATTTTCTGCATTCCTAGAGACTCCATGTAAACAACAAAATGCATTTACCAGCTGAAAAAATTGGATTTTGCATAAGGCTAGACACAAGTGTGGAAATCAGTTTCATGCTTGTGTGTAACAATTTTATGATGATCAAGATTTGCATGTAAGGATCATGCCATAATTCTGGTGGAAATGTGCTGTTTTTTTTTCCTGCAAGCACACAAYTTCAGTCATGGAACTACATCTCATTTCCTGCCCCAACTTTGTTAAGCAAATAGCCATCTCTACTGGCTTTTAAACTAAACAGATCACAAGGACCGGATTGAACATTCATCAAGATGATTTGAAGACTACTTACCAGGTTTGCGATGATGTAATTGAAACCCTTCACATGTTTACCCACACTGACGGCCTGCAAACACACAGAGAGGAAACATTCATCTCTTTACTGCTCCTGGAATGGATGCAATGTGAAAAAACAAGAGCTTATCATCGCAGCAGGGACGTCAAACAAAAATAAAATAAAATAAAATAAAATAAAGCGCACTTCCTCCCATCTGTTGCTGCTTTACCTCCTTCAGCAGTGTGGTAGGAGTATTTTATAACACTGATTGTACACAGCGGACAGGGTTTCAGCCGTCTCTAGAGCAACTCTGCTAAAAAAAGATTCAGTCAAGCAAAACCCAATGATTTAACTTGCGCTACTAATTAGCTTCACTGGCCAGTGATTCAGCTCAAAATGGAAACCTTGAAAAAGGCTTTTTGCCACTTAAATTCAGAAATAAAAATAGAACATTGTGAGATTTCTGACGTAAGACAAATGTGAATATTCCCCTCACCGTGATGCATAAGCCTAATTAATAAACTGCTCACATTTTATACTTGTCTCTTGTCTCGCCCACACGTATCAGCAGCTACATACTCACACACAAACACACACACAGATCGCAGCTGGCAGGGGCAGGCAAACAGAGCAGTCTCTGTCTCAGAGCGGAGATGTTCGCCAGTGCCAACACTGCACAACCCACTGCAAGGAGAGTGTGTGTTTGTGCTTGTGTCCCTGCTTTAAGCATGCATTAAAGCCAGTGTGTGTCTGTGTTCAGTCATCACTGAAACCAATTAAGAAACAGTCTCATCTATTTGTCTGTCTGACAGAGAGGCTGTTACCAGTGAGTTTGTGGGTGTTTGGAGGACAGCATTTAGATGATGTGTTTGAAATAAAACCCCAGGGCAGCTATTGTTAGGATGGTGCAGAAAGTCAAGAACACTGATTCTTGCTTTGGTTTTAGTTTCACCACAGACAGAACTCAAAGTGTTAAAACATTTTGTTTCATCAATTTTAATTTATCTGTTAGAATGAAATTGTTTGTGTAGTTCAAGATTGCAACATTTTTTTCAAAAAGAGGCTGGACATTTTGTGATTTGTTATTTCTTCTCACAAAGTTAAAMAAGTGGTTAGCTTTAACAGCATCAAGCAATGAAGGGTTTCAGGTGTTATTTTACTGCATTTATCTTGCATRTATTACACTTTTAGTTTTACATTTTCTTACATATTCTTTACTAAAATAAGTCAATAGACAATTCAGCCCCTTTTTCATCTAGCTGACACTAGAAATACCCATGGGCGGAGCTAGACATTTTTGCAAGGAGTGGTCAAGATGTGGTCCAGGGGTGGCCAAGGGGTTTTTAGGGGGCACCTACAAATTAAGAAAACTACTATGAATTTGAATATTCAAAATGGCAGCCACTGCTAATTTCAAATAGCTGAGGATCAGCACCTCCTAATCTGAGTCTGTGGTCTTCAGTCGGAAATGGGTGGGTTGCTCTCTCCGGGTTGGAGGTGAAGTTCTGCCTCAAGTGGAGGAGTTCAAGTATCTTTTTCACAAGTGAGGGAACAATGGAGCATGAAATTAATAGATGGATCAGCGCAGCTTCCACAGTTTTGCTGACTCAGTACCAGTGTGTTGTGGTGAAGAGAGAGCTGAACTGTAAGGCAAAACTCTGTTTACCGATCAGTCTATGTTCCTACCTTCCTCTATGGCTACAAACTTTGGGTACAGACCAAAAGAACAAGAGCATGGATACAAGTGGTCGAAATGAGTTCTCTCTGCAGGGTAGCTGGACTTTCCCTCAGGGATAGGGTGAGAAGTTCAGGTATCCAGGGGAGACTCAGAGTAGAGCCGCTGCTCCTCCACATCGAGAGGAGCCAGTTGAGGTGGTTCAGGCATCTGGTAAGGATGTCTCTTGGACGCCTCCCTGGGGAGGTACTTCAGGCACRTCCAACTGGGAGGAGACCTCGAGCAAGACSCAGGACACTTTGGAGAGACTGTCTTGGCTGGCCTGGGAATGCCTTGGAGTCCGACCAGAAGAGGTGGCTGGGGGAAGAGAGATCTGAGCTTCCCTGCTCAAGCTGCTGCCCCAAAGATCCGACTTAGGATAAAGTGGAATGTAATAGATGGATATACCTCAGCTATTTTTAGCCATTTGAGCTGAAATTTGGTGTGTTGGGAGCTGCAATCACCAATCTAGTAGTACTCAAATCATAAATTTACTATGGAGGCCACATGGCAGGACCTGCCAGTGTTTCACAAAGAACTGTTCTTGTTGCACCATTCTATTGTGATGTTAAAGACTGGCCTCTAGATGTTGCCTAATTTACATTGACTGGTTCTGAAACTCAGATCTGTTAAACACAACYGTTGTTTTCTATTAACTCAGTGGCTCAGAAGTTTCTTTTCTTTGCACACTTCACACCGATCGGTTCCCTCTACACAAGACAACACAGCAACTTGACAGCTATTTACTCCTTTCTTGCTTTACCTGCCCATCTTAATGTCACATGCAATCCCCCTCCTACTTGCCAATCATTTGGGGGTGGCACCTGGGCTGGCCAATCAGGTGCCGAGTGTGGCGCTAGCCACCCTGACCACCCTTCTGGTTCTATCTCTGGAAATGCCAAAAACCACATAAACTGGGAGAGATAATGGTGAGTGGAAGCAGGTGTGTAGAAGAAGAATGAAAGCCAAGTGAGGGAGGACAACTTAGGACATGCAGAATAAATTTATAAAAAAATACACATACACACATATCTTCATCCATCCATCTATAATGTATTTATTCACAATACAAAATCACAACACAAATCTGAAACCATGGCAATGTAAATGACAACTTCTAGACATGAATAAACAACATCTCCATTCCAGCTCACACCACAAGCTTACATTATTGTTTCATAAAATCGTTCGAAAGTCCATCACACATTTCACAACATAAGTCATGGATGCATCATTAGAATGCACAGTTCACACAATGCGTGCATAACTAATGAACACATGAGCATGTTTATTAACCTCGCGTATGGATTCAAGAAGAATTTGATGCTTTTTTGACTGGCCAAATCTGAGCTGTGTAGCTCTCTCTGTTATTATGATGGCTTCAAAAGACGTTTGAATCCTTCATGTTGTAAAAGCTCATTGCAAACTCATTTAGAGCTAAAACATTCTTTAATTGCCTTTAGGCTACTCCTCTTCACTTGTAATTCGCTCAGGATAAAACAGTCTGTTAAATCAATGTGATTAAATAAACATACACACACACACACACACACACACACACACACACACACACACACACACACACACAC